ATGTTTTTTTTTCACCAGCCTTAACACCAAATTCGGATAATTAAATCAAACTATTACTGCATCTATAATTATAAAACATTTGGATTTGTGAACATGAAAGTTTAAATTAATTCTGCTACGTCATGTTACTATGGTTGCTGTAAAGAATTGGCTTAGTTGGGTATAGAGTGCATCCGGAGTTCAATAGTAAAATTTTTTTTTTAAGCAGGGAGGTACTTTCGAATCAATCCAACCCTTTTTTTTCATTATTAAATTTTTTTTTGCTCACTATTATACGTTTTAAATGATAGTTAAAACAGTTCTACACAATTTTTTTGTGAGAAAAGCAAGCCGAATCCCCATTTTTACAAAGTGATTTTAGGTGGGGGGGCTTCAACTTGTCACATACAGCCAAAATTTGAACAAATTTTTTTATTTTAGCCAATAGGATTGCTCCGGATATTTAATTCACCGTTTCTGACATTTAAACTAAAGCATCTGCCGCCAAAAATCTAATTACCGCCAGCAGGCATACTTAAGCTGGCCATGTACTTAGATGATAAAGTTCACAAACAAATCTAGACATGTAATTAATATTCTCTTTGCCCAAAATTAATAAAAAAATGCCGTTATTCATTTCAGGTTTTTTAAGAAAGGACAAATTGTTTAAACGCAGCGAGCTCTTATCGGATGTTCTTATTGACGGACAAAGGCTTTAGAATGTTCACTAGCATTTTTGTACTGATTATAATTCTTTGAAATTTAAGAATCTCGTTGCTTATTATGTTTTTATGCTGTAATATTAAGCGCGTTATACTAAAGTAAGCAGAAGGCAAATGACCTTTCTTGCAAACATTTATGACACTGATCATCAAATCTAAAACAATTGAATCACAGCGTTACATAATCTGATTAAATTTATGCTGAAGAAACTCTTCAAAATGTTCCCCGTGATTTTGATACTAAGTAGAATCTTTTTAAAATTGATATATATATTATAAATAATACTTCTAATCTGTTCTTGTCACCGCCAACAAAAAAAAAGTACATAAAGGGTGAGAAATATGTCTTTAAAATTTCCATTACTCAAAAGACCAATTGTAACACAGCCCACTCCAATCCGATGGCTGATATAAATAAAAAAAACATTGAAATGTTCCCCGTGATTTTGATACTATGTAGAATCTTTTTAAAATTGATATATACATTATAAATAATACTTTTAATCTGTTCTTGTTACCGCCAACAAAAAAAAAGTACATAAAGGGTGAGAAATATGTCTTTAAAATTTCCATTACTCAAAAGACCAATTGTAACACAGCCCACTCCAATCCGATGGCTGATATAAATAAAAAAAACATTGAAATGTTCCCCGTGATTTTGATACTATGTAGAATCTTTTTAAAATTGATATATACATTATAAATAATACTTTTAATCTGTTCTTGTCACCGCCAACAAAAAAAAAGTACATAAAGGGTGAGAAATATGTCTTTCAAATTACCATAGCTCAAGACCAATTGTAACATAGCCCGCTCCAATCCGATGGCTGATATAAATAATTTTTTTTTTTAAAATGCTCCTCGTCATTTTGATACTAAGTAGAATCCTTATTAATTGAAGATGTAGCTTATAATATATGTTTTAAATTTGTATTAGTTAACGCCAATTGCAAGAAATATCCAAACAAGGTGCAAATTCCCTTTTAAGTGTCAATAACTGTCCCCCCAAATCTTTTATATTTTAAACGCAGCAAGATTTAGCTGCTATATGGGAAAAATCTTTGAAATACTTGCCATCATTTTTGTATTAAGTATATTCTCTTTTAATTAAAAGAGTTTATTTGTAAATATATGAATATGTTATAATAGTCTGCGCCAATTGATAAATTGACTGAAAGATTAGTAATATTATATTAAAGTTCCATACGAAACTCTATAGGAGTTTGAATCATATAATTTTTAAGGTTTGGGATTGAGAGTTTAATTTTTGACGTTTTGCAAAGTTTTTATCATCTATCAAAACAAACAATAACATATCCAATGGCTAAATCAAGAAAAAGAATGAACCAAGGGAAAAAAGTTAGAGCTGCAACGTTAGAGAAAGCTGCAATGCTTGCTGCTGAGGCTGCTGAGGCTGCTGTGAGAGAGTTCAGCGATGTTGAAATTCACCATTCCGAAGATGTTCAAGGTGATGTCGAAGTTATGCCCATCTCGTGGAAAAACGCTAGTGAGACCACTGGTGCGCAGAGATACACGCGTAAAATTGAATACGCACGCGAAACTATCAGTCGTAAGAAGTCTGCTTGGAAGAAAGCCGCTGTGGGCACACGTTCCTTGACCGATTTTTTCAAGTTGACCAAAAAACTTGCACCCATTATGAAGAAGAAAAAGGGGCCATACAAGTCCAGATTCCCTGATGAAGCAACATTGGAAAAAATCCATACAATGTTGCCACTCATTGATCCAAAATTGGTTCTTTGTAATGCATCTACTGGTGAACAACATATGGAAGGTGTCACTCAGTATCTGAAATACAAGATTGTGAAGGAAATGATGGTGCTTCTTTTGGCGGGTGAAGCGTATTCTGATGCAGCAGATCGTGCGGTCAACAACTCCTGGCACGATCCATCAAAATTTTACCGTTTTCGCGTAGCCCGTATTTGGTTGGGGCTTTACTTGGAGACCGGAAGTATCCCTCTCCACCAACAAGGAAAGCATGCGAAGAGGAGATCAATCCTGAGTGATCCTTTTGTGAAAGAGAAATGCGTGGAGTGGATTCGTGGCCAGAAAGCCACATTTAGAAGTATCCCGGCTCTTCGACTTTATTTAAGACAGCACGTCTTACCGGAGGTCTTGGCCATGACGACGGAAGTACAGGTTGATGCAGATGTGATTGTAAATGATGAAGTACATCCTCTGTCAAATGATGCTTTGTCAACTTACCTGAAGTCATGGGGGTTCGAATACAAGACAGGTAAATACAAGATGCAATTAATTAATAGTTACTAATGGTTAAACTTTAATGTTTTTTTTGTGGTATGTGCATAGGAAAAGATCAATGTTACTTTGATGGACATGAACGGCCGGACGTCATTTCTTATCGTATTAAGTGGGCCCAACAAATGATGGAATGGCACAAACGTATGGAAACCTATACACTCGACGATGAGAATTCAGAACCAGTTCAACCTAACCTGAAGGAAAATGAAAAGAAGATGGTTTTAGTTACTCACGACGAATCAATATTTTATTCAAATGATTGTAAAGTCACTCGTTGGTGTGAGAAGAACGAATCCATGATCATTCCTAAGGGCCAAGGAAGATCTGTTATGGTTAGCTCGTTTATGTGTCCTTGCCATGGAACAATGAGAGGTACCGTCAATGGTATTGAAATAACTTCAAGAGTTATCTTTCTTCCTGGTAACAGTAACGGCGATGGTTATTGGACGAACATTGATTTAACTAATCAATTAAAAGATGTAATTCCTCTTTTTAATGAATTACATCCTGATTGTATTGGTATCTTTGCCTTTGACCAGAGCTCTAACCACAAAGCCATGGCTGATGATGCTCTTGTTGCCTCAAGGATGAGTTCCGGTGTCACCGAGTATAAAGATACAAATAAGTATAGGTTTCGGGATACCACTTTTACTGATAAGGAAGGTCGAGTGAAGGCCCAGCCCATGTACCGGACCGAGACGGTGAATATGGAAGCCGTGAAGAAGATTGTTGCTACCAGAAGGGCAAAGCAGCAACCAGTGTCCTTTGAAGACCTCATGAATCAATACAGGCTTCCAAGAGTAAATATTTGAACTTAATACATGACATGAAAATCTAAATTTCAATGATTTCATTATATTTTGTAGGCACGTGAGGTCTTCAGAGGCACGCTCATTTTGTTGAGGGAGCGCGGCTTGTTGGACAAGAATGCTTCGCTGCGCAAGGTATGCCCTTCTGGTACAGTGCATGATCCTGCTGTTCGACCTGGCTGCTGTGCTGAGTACTTGCTTTCTCAGCAACCTGATTTTTTGGCGCAGAAGAATATGTTGGAGACTGTGACGTTCGAGGCTGGTCAACTCTTTACATTATACCCAAAGTATCACTGTGAGACTAACTGGATTGAAAGACATTGGGGTGCAGCCAAAAGATATTCACGAATGATGTGTGATTACTCCTTTTATACTCTGACGTCTAGAATCCATGAGTTTTTGGACAATGATGAGGTTGTGCACGGTCCTAAAATCAATAGACGGTATTATAACCGTGCCTATAGATATATCGACGCGTATAGCAAGGGTAAAGATGTCATGGAGGCTGATGAGATTATCAGAAAGTTTTCCAAAGAATATCGATCACACAGACGTGCTGTTTAGTTGCTCCTTAATGGCTTTCATTCCATTAAAAAAAAAACCAAAAAAAAAAATCCTTAGACTCCCCCCCCCAAAAAAAAAATTAGACTCCCCCCCCAAAAAATAAATAAATATCCTGAAATTTTTTTTTTTAAAAAAAAAAACCTTCCCCCACATTAAGATCTGGCTATAAATCTATTTCCTTTTATATTGTTTGTACGAGTCGGAGGTGAATCCTTCAAAATGTCACAAAATTGATTTTGCTATTGAACTCCGGATGCACTCTAGTGTGCAACACTGTTTCATTTTCTATGGTAAATGTTTTTGTTGGTTGTACAATTAAATAAAAGTCCAAAGCATTTTAATTGGAATTATTAGAGCATAAATAAAAAAAAATGGTAAAGGGAAGAAAAGATTAAAATCAAGGGGAAATGCCATCGGTAGTCTTTCAAGGACCTTAACTTTAAAGTGACTACTATCGACATTTTAGCCGAGCGAGCATCGATCGAAGCTCGCTCGAACCCAAAAAAAGTGGCGCAAACTCGAGTACAAAAACTCGGTTCGAGCTTCGTTCGAACTGGCGCAAGATCGGTGCAAGCTCGAAAAGTTCGAACACTATGAACAACCCGGTCCTACTGACACCCCAAGTTCAACCTCTTCTACGGATACTATGAAACCTATTGATTCGGACCCCAAAGGCAAGAAGAAAGAGGAGGTGGATCTTTCAATTTTTAAGTCTACAGCTAACTATTCCTCTGCGAGTATCCAGGAGAAGACGGCAAAAACAAAAAAGGCAGCAGATACCAATACTCCTTTTTTGGATTTTTCGGACGTTCGCAACGGTGATATGTCTATTGTGGATGATGGATCTCAGATGGATGGAGAATTTCTCAGGACACACTTTACGGAGGCTAAACAGAAATTTGATGAACTAGCAATGTACGTCCAGGTGAACCGACAAGCACTTCTGGAGGAAGCAACGGTGAAACAACAAAGATCAATGGCTATCGCAAAATCTTTGGAATATTTGGCTCCCGCTGATTGTATCCACTTACAGATACTCATCTCTGAACAGCAAGACCAAGCTCACGAGGTACATCGCATTGTCAAAAATTTGGATGGCCAGGTAAACAATGAAAGGTCTAGATTGAATCAGGTACTTACGTATCTTTTACATTCTATACCGGGTATGGACTTGACCCGAATGGTTCATGAACTTCAATGGCCGACACTCTCGGTTTGTAGAGATCTGGATCTTCCTTATGATTATCAGCTGATGATTACTGGCGCTTACAACCCTCCCCACATTGTCAAGGATGAACAAGGAAAACACAAGCTTCAAGAAAAGACGGAAAGCGACGAGTTGAAGCTGATGCAACAACGAATCCTACTTTTAGAATCTCAACTGCAACGAGCTCAAGTCAACACTCAATGTCACAGTGGCGTGAATGACCACGAATTGCAGCGAACCACATTACTTAAACCAGAGAATAAGGAAAACAAGGCTATGAACCAACAACGGGTCTTTTTAGAAAGACGGAAACGACATAAATTTCCTACTTTTGAAAAAGGATCGGCTCATGAGGCTCAACAATGGATGCAAAGGTATGAAGTACTGGCTAAATATCTGGGGTTTACCGAAGATAAAAAATCGGAGGAGATGACGGCAGTTCTTACGGGTGATAGCATGGACTGGTTAATCGGGTTAGACCCAACGGTACTGGGAAATTGGAATAAGTTGAAGGAAGCATTTTTACATCAACATGCACAAGGAATGGATCCTGTCGTATTTGACGCCTAATTCCACGAATACAATTACTCTTATCTTGTCACTCAATTATAATACATATAACCTATGTATTATAAGTACCATATTGCGAATACATTCCTATTGGTACGACACAGTACCAGCTCCCTCATATGTCAAACTAAGATCCGATTTCATAATCGTTCCTGGATTGGTCGAGTAGCTGCCGAATCTTCTAGTTTCTCATAAATTTATTTTAGTAATCCAATCAAGGACCCTGCCATTGAATGGATAAACTATAATGCTCTAGAAGTGCCGGATATGGGTCAACTAGCTCCTTGTATATAACAATAAGCTATGTTTCATATGTAACTGATTTCTAAATCTAATTCTACCATTTCCCAGTTTGCGGGTAAATAGTCAATTCGATCTGCGCAGGAAAAATCTTGAAGTAATAATTGAATATAAAAAGGACCTCTATTTTTATCATGACAAACTCTCCAACTTATAATAAAGGATTGTAGAGTCTCATTTCTTTACTTGCTTTATTTTCCCAATTACTTTTCCCTTTTTATTTCTCAATTTTCACAGATCCTACTCTCGCAGCTTTCAATGAGTTAAAGAGCTATAAACAAGGAAACAAGCCCATGAAAGAATTCGGTCCAGGCATTACTACACTGTTACAACGTGCCGGTATTTATCAGGCCAACATCCAACTGGATTATCTTAACGATCAATTACACCCAGAATTGGAAAAGGCAGTCATCATGAACCGTGCTCAAACTCTGGCCGACGGTATACACATCGCTACGGAAATAGAACGTTCACTGGCCAAATCTAAATTATCTAATACCTACATGGGCCCAATCACAAATTACTGAGAAATTCGAGAGTGATAATAGCGAATTAAGAATAAAATGTGAAATTTAACAAAGTGAAATTATCAAACTGCAAAAATAAACTAAAGCTTTATTAAACAAATAAAAGGGGGTCTTTATATACACATTATTTCAGACATTGATCACAGATGGGCTGATGACGGTTATGGGTAGATTTATCCAGATAATACTCGGATGTAATGATCCCATATAGAAAGACCATAATGAGATGTCAATAACAATAACAATAACATTCATTCTTAAACTGTGTATGTCTTGTAGCACAACATTCAGGGGAAAATGTAGTTCTTATTAAAGATAGCTGTGGCACCTCAACGTGGCTGATGTAACCTTCATATGTTTTCATATTCATGTTATTATTTAAATGTATGCCTTATACTTGTATGAAGGATGATATGAGATCAAGCCTGTACATAAAGTAAATGATCAGTATTTAATATAAAGTACCAATAAGAATTATATTTAGGATTATCAAATGGAAGATTTAAGAAGTGTAGATAGAGTCATATATTAAGTATATAGCCTCGATCACGACAATTACTCTTCCGGATCGGACAGCACCCAAGTGTCTCAGGTAACCAACAGTGGAGGTGATCAAAATTATCAAGATCACCAACAGCACAGGTATGGTCAAGGTAACTCTTCGGGTAACGGTGGTAGATATTATGGCGGTGGTCGATCTCAAGGTGGTGGTGGCTCTCAAGGTGGTGGTGGATCTCAAGGCGGTGGTGGATCTCAAGGCGGTGGTGGATCTCGCGGCAAGGCTTTTAGTGGCACGGGGGAAACGAGAACATGTTTCAAATGTAACAAGGTGGGACATCTTCGACGAGATTGTCGAGTTAAATCTTTTAAACAGAACAATCAAGAGTTAACGGAAAAAGATGAATCTAACCAACCGGTCGAAATGGATGATGATATTTTCTTGCATTTATTACAAACTCAAGAGATTATGCACGATGTGGTGACCTAGCAAGGCTATAGCCATATTAGAGCTAACAAAGGTTTATCCATGCTGATACCATTTGTGATATAAGCTTAACAATAAATGTCAGAGTAAGAACTATAAGAATATTACATCACAAGTCTAAGTTAGTACGTCTGAGAAATACTTAAAATTTAGTTTAAAGCAAAGAGAGTTAAGAAGACTTAACATTTATTAGAACAAGACTAAATTAGTGACTATGTAATAATCGTATACATTTTTGGTTAATCAATGATAACTTCAAGATAGCACTAGAGATATGAACACAGCAGACAGTCTTTTATATAAATACTCGTATATTTCATTTATTAATAAAGGACAATCTTATAAACAGTCTCAAACTACTCCTATAGTCTTTTTATAATTTTACTTTACCTTAAAACACAACACACGAAACCAGCAACAACATGAATGAAAATCGAGGCCGAAGGAGATTCAAGATTCCTATCCAATGTTACGAACAAGAACAGGAGGTTTTGGTAGATACGGGTGCAGCAATTAGCACTGTCTCTAAGAAAGTGGCAGAGCAACTAGGCTTACCTCAATTTGTTGTGGATACACAGGTCATCAGGTACTGTTCTAAAACCAGTCAAGTCATCTGACCCATCGGTGTTATAACCCTTAACCGCAGTATATTATCCAACACTAGAGCTTGACCGCAGTACAACCGCAGTACTGCGGCAACATAGTAAAAACATATAAATATCAATCAATTATCATTCAATAAACATTATCTTTATTTTCAATCAAAAAGTCTGTTAAACAGTTTTAGCGAACGGAATTCTCCATATATAATTCCCTCTAATAACTTTCTCGCCAGTCACTTGGTCTATATTTAACAACCGACTTCAATCTTATTTTATGGTGGAGTAGCTGCTTCTTTTCCTGCGCCCTACAACTCTATAACTTCTATAACTCTATAACTTCTATAACTTCTATAACTCTATAGCTCTATAACTATATCGCACTTATCTCTCATACATACCTACCCTATGTCTGATTTTACCACGCCCAACCCATCTGTGCCCAATGTACCTGAAACCTCCCAAGAAGTCAATTCTCTGGCTGCCTTGTTAGCTGAACAACGGGTTAACAACACTGCTCTGGTCTCACCTTATACCAAAGGCCAAGATATCACTTCTTGGATCAAGCAATTTCATCTCTCCGCCAAAGCCCTTGGTATGTGTAGCGCCGGCTCTCGCAACATGCAAATGCTGAAATATTTGCCCCAGGAGGCTACCGACTGGCTTATGCGTGTCGCAGACCTCTCTAGCGCCGCTGATGTTAAAGCTAAACTAGAAAGCGTCTATGGAATCGATCCGCTGGTTCAGAAATCTCTGTGTCGCCGACGTTTGGAAGCGCTTCAACAAGGACAACGCCGTGTTGCTGAATATAAAATGCATTTTGAGACTATCGTGGCTGACTTTCCTGAAGATAACACCCTCTCCGACGATGTATTTCGACACATCTTCTTCAGTAACCTTCGACCTGAACTTCGTTCCGCCCTTCTCGGTATCATCGATCCAGCAGATACTTGGAAAACACTGGCTGCTGCTGCTGCTATTCGTGAGAATGTCCTGTTCCTTGGCAACGATCACTTCTTAGCCATGCAACCGGCCTCTCCTGCTTTGAACGAACCCACACCCATGGAAGTCGATGCAGTTCAACAACAATTTAAACCTAAGCGCAAAGAACATCCTATGCGTCGATGGACTCAAGATGGACAGCCAATCTGTGGTTTCTGTGGAGTCGTTGGTCATTACTCGAAGAAATGCCCCCGGGAAAAGGCTAAAAGGAACAATGTCCATGCTGTTGAACACCAGGATCAACCAGCACCTCCCACACCGCCAGCACCAGCACCATCTTCTACTGTGCAGTACGTGAGCGCCATCTCCAACCCAGCTCAGGGTTATGCTTGTATTCCAATTGACGACGATCCTATTTACACGTTTCCTGGCATCCATAGTATCTCAGTACCAACATGTACTTCATCTACACCCAAGATCAAGGTTAACTTTGGTGGACGTTTGGTGGTTGCTCTAATTGATACAGGTGCATCAGTGACGGTTATGCGCTCCTCAGTAGCCGATCTCTTACAACTGGTACCCGATAGCTCCATGAGTATCACTTTCACAACAGCTAACAACCAAACTAACTCGTCCTTGGGAATGATCAAATCTTCTGCGCTCATTGGTGAACTTCCGGTGGTCCTTCACTGTCATGTTGTTCGTGAACTAGCTCATGATCTAATTATTGGATATCCTGACCTCAAGGCCCTCAAGGCTATCATCGATACCGCCTCCAACGAGGTTCGTATTCCCAAGAGCTTGGACTCTACGGCTGCCATGACACCTGCTGTAGCTTCTGTATGCTCCATCTCGTCTTCAGTTGCATCTTCCTGGTCTTCACCATACTTATGTTGATATCAACGGTCCCCCTAATACGCTTGCATTCATATCCACACCTCAGAATGTTGCTATGGAAAAACTCTTGTCTGTCGCCTCGGGTATTGTTGAGTTCAACAACGATGG